CAATGGTGTAACAGAAAACACTGTGGACAGTCAACTTTGTCCATAGCACAGCCACAGCTTAGTCACCGCTGGTCCTTGGCTCCCCATTCAGCCCATTCTGAGTAACAGAGGGTCAGTGACTACATCTCTGTGAGTCAGGTCGGTCAGCAGCTGTGATGTGCATCTCATAACCAGGAAGTGAATGGATGAATCATAATATAAAAAGATTTTTGCAGATAAGTTGGACATGGTAATATAAGGCCATACAAAACTTTCCAGAGAAGTCAGAACTTCTTCTATGTGTGGAACCTGTCTATTTCCTTTGGCATTGAGTTAGCAAGATCCACAAGGTACCTGGAGAACTGCCTGGGGGAGGCCTGGGTGTCAGACCTGAGTGATCTGTCATTCACTGAGGGGAACAGAGCTTTGCTTCTGCTGCCCAGACACCATCCTCACCCTCACTCCAATCTTGTCAGTTAAAGGTTAGGGTGAAGCACTTGGGGATCAGGTTTGAAGACAAAATGCATGTGAACTCCAACATAGCGTGTTTTTTATACCTGCTTCCTTGGTACTGACAAGAAGGAATAGATAACAGGCTCGTCAACACAGGAAAGTGACATAATTTAAGTTGGGAAAGATGATGTGAAAGTCCAAGTTTTTTAATAAATATGGAAACACATAATTCTAGAAGCAAGACTGTAGAACTAAGACTTTAATGATGAAGAGCTGTGAACTCCAAGGAGGCCATTACAATGGCAGTTTGTACAATTTGTCCGAACTGTGGCAAGAAGAAAGATCTTCATAGGATTAAAAAGTCAATGTCAAGTTAGAAAGAAAAGAAAAACAGTGTGGTCTCCCACTGAGTGAAAAAGAAACTGTAGTGAGCTATTCACCTTGTCTGCACCTGTGGCATAGACCACGCCCATTGGGGTGGAGACAGGGCCAGATGTGACCTGGGGAACCAAGTCTGAGGAGGGGGCTGGGAGATCTTTTGCTTGCAGACAGGGACAGGAGAACATCAGGAGGCATCCTTGGGACCAGGAACCTGCTGGTGTTCATCTGTCTATGTTGTAAGTTATTTCTCCCTGAATAAACATCTATTCGGCCTATTTGTTTCTCCTGATCCTTATTAAACATCAATATCAGTAAGAAACAGAGCCTAAGAACTCTTCCTCCTTAACTCAACCCTCACCCAAGCCTCCCTAGGTCTGAACCAAACAGACAGAAGATGGGCGCTGGCCAGAACTTGGGGGCGGTGGAGTGGGAATAAGACTCAGCAGGGGGCTTGACTCAACAGAACCAAGAGACCAAGAACCAAGAGACAAGAAGGTAGCCCTGCCAAGTCTAGACTTCACAGTAAATCTTAAGAGTGAAGATACAAAATATAACATCAAAACCAGAAATTCCTCTGATGGTTTGAACATCCCCTTCCTTTGAAAACAAGTAAAAATAAAAGTATGAGGGCTGGGGAGGTGGCTCAGCAGATAAAACTCCGATTCCCAGCACAGATGCACAGGTGAGCAGGTGTGTGAACTGCAGAGTCAGCAGTGCTTGGAGCAAAGTACACAGCTAGACTAACAGAATCTGTGAAAGGCCATGCCTCAAGAGTAAAGGTGGAGAGCAATTGAGGAAGACATCTCATGTTACTCTCTGGCTTCTACATACACACACACACACATGCACACACACACACAAACACGTGCACACACACGTGCACACCTGCACACACACAAACACGTGCACACACACGTGCACACATGCACACGCACAAACACGTTTATACGTTGAATACAGTACATATACATGTACACACAAAAGAAAGAGGAAAAATAGATGAAATATTAGAAAATGTTTGAAGAAATAAGGTATCTGCCAGTTAAGTAATTTTTAGTCTTTGTACTGGGAGCAAGATCCAGGAGAAAATATTTCATAAAGGGAAAATGAGCTTTTGGGCCAGATGTGGTAGTTCATGCCTGTAATTCCAACACTTAGGAAGCTGAGGCGGGAGGATAAAAATCCCAGGCTTGCCTGAGTTACACAGGAAGATCCTGGGTTTAGAGGGGTGATGGGTGTGAGGAGGAGGGGCGTTTGTGATAGAGGTTGCTCTGTATTGATTTTGTTTGTTGGTTTGTTTGTTTTAAAGCAGCATTTGGGGACAGTTTCTGTGGAGGAAATTGCCTCAAGTTATAGTTTAGAGACTGGTAACCTACACAGAGTTTCTGGGTAGAGAGAATAAAATTGGGATTCAGAAACCACAATGGAGGGAAACCTTTGAGGAGACAAAAACAAACGAAACCACTTGAGGCCTTTCCTTCCACTGACAGTCTCAAAGACTTCACCCTGGGAGTGAGGCGTAGTTAACCTTCACTGATAGTTTGATGGACTTCTGGGTGTGTCCATGCAGGCATTCCAGCAAGGTTGTAGTGAGTTGGGAGGACCTGCCCTGAGTGTGGATGGCACAGTTTTGGGAATATATCCTGGAATAGCACCCTGACACCAGTAAGAATGCAAGAGAGGAGATGTCACCAGTGGACTGAAGCCGGGACAGCTCCTAAAGGCCTTGGTACTGGGTCCAGCTTGTATTCTCTCTTTTTATACTCTAAAACCACAAGGTGGAGTGGGAAAGCAAGACTTTAAGAAGGGTGTGGTAGGCAGTAGGTTGTTAAGGACAATGACCCATTGTTTTAACTATTTCTCTAAGCTGTTCTGTTCCAGATAGCCAATGATGCCATGCTTTGCATTGCAAGCAGTGCCTTAAGTAAATCACTAAATAAATCAGTACATCAGTATCTAATAATTGTTCCTTTCTGTTATTCTACTTCAGCACCATCCATGTGGTCAAGGACCCTGGGTCAAGTGAAAGAAGAAATGGGATACGAGCATTCGTCTGGCTTTGCTTCCTGACAGTAGTCAGCCACCCCACAAGCCTGGCACTGCCCACACCTTGCCCATCATCACAGACTGCACCTCTGTGGTGGTCTGAAAGAAAATGGCCCCCCATAGCCTCATAGGGAGTAGCACTGTTAGGAGGTGTAGCCTTGTTGGAGTAAGTGTGGCTTTGTTAGAGGAAGTGTGTCACTAAGGGTGGGCTTTGAGGTCTTAGATGCTCAAGCCAGGCCAGTGTGGCTAAATCTCCAGCACATGTCTGCCTGCATGCTGCCATGCTTCCTGCCATGAGCAAACCTCTGAACTGTAAGTCAGCCCCAGTTACGTGTTTTCCATTATAAGAGCTGCTATGACCATGGTGTCTCTTCACAGCAATAGAGACCCTAACTAAACAACCTCCAAACCATGAGCCCCTTCCTTAAGCTGCTTCTATGGAGCACTTTATCACACCAAAAGGAAAGTATTACAACCTGTCATCGCTGATTTAATTAAGTGACCTGGGATTGCTCACACCTACCGGATACAGAGGGCAGAGTGGAAGAAGATGCTGCAGTGTTTCATGGAGAATGTCCAGCATGCCATGAACACTACCAGGCAAGAGAAGAGCATATGACTGATAACCAAATAAAAACAGACAATGACAACAACCAAAAGCCCTGGGGTAATTAACAGGATTGTCAGGCATGGACCAGAATAATGGATAAATGTGCTGAAAGGTTAGGAGGGTATAAACTATTTAAACAAAGGATAGATACATCAGAGATAGTTGGTAACTTGAAAGGTAAGCTAGAAGAAAAGACCCACCACAAAACATGGTGATAGGAATGGGCAGAACATACAAAAGACACATGGAAGAAAAGGGAAAAAGTCCCCACGATGAGAGGGCCAGAAGGAGAAGACAGCAAGAATAGAGAAGGAATATATAGAGAAATGGCCAGGATTGACCCAAAAACTGACAAAAACCCATCAAACCACAGACTGAAAAAAACCACTCGATCCAAATCCCATACAGAATAAATACAAAGATAATGACATCTAATTATATCATTGTACAAGTTCTGAAAACTGAAGACATAATGTGCTAAAAGAACAAGGAGAAAAGACATCTATAAAAAAAAAAAAGTAAGGATAATACCCAGTTTCCAAAAGAAAAAAAAATTTATAAAGTTAGACAATGGGATAGTATTTTTCCATGTGCTAAAAGAAAATAATGGCCAACACAAGATTTTACATCCAACAAAACAAACATACCATGTTTACAGCCATGGAATAAACAAGTTTTAGGTGAGCAACAACAACAAAGAACCGAAATAATTTTTTGCCTTTGCTGACTTTCACTGTAGAAATAGTGCAGGATGTTCTTCAGGCAGAAGGAAAATGGCGGCTAGAAGCCTGGACTGCAGGGCTAGAGAGAAGAGCAATGGAAGGGGTAGATCTGTGGACTCACAAGATAATCACGTGTGTGGGTCTAAAAAATGGAAAGGACTAAATGGCAAGGTGGCGATGGGGTAAATGGTGAGACAGATAGGAAGCAGAACTTGAGTAAATTCAGGTACATTTTAGAAGGCCTGACATAACAACTAAAAGAATAGCAGAAGAATGCATCACTAGCAAGTAGGTCTTTTATATAATAAAATGAACATTACTTCAAAAATCAGCAAACTGGGGTGAGGGGAATATGAAGGGGAAAGTACAGCAGCTATGGACTTGGGGAGATGGCTCAGCAGTTAAAGACACTTGTTCTTGCAGAGGACCCAGATTCAACTCCAATCACCCACATGGTACTTCACAGACAGCCATTCATTCCAGTTCCAGGGGATCTGACACCCTCCTCGGACTTTCATGGGCATGATTCATGGTACATATACATATATACAGGTGAAACACCATGCACCTTAAATACAGTAGCAAATAAACCTAAATACCAAATGGTCAGCCCCGAAATCACATATACTCAGGTAACAATACACAGATTGAGCAGGTTGTAGTTATACACTCAGGAATATAGGTAGCAACAATTAAAAAAGTATGTTCAACCTCAGAACAAGAATTATGGAAAAGGAACAAGGGGCTCTCTGAGTAGAGAGGGCATCAGAAGTCACCAAGGTGGCAAGCATGGGGTGACTATCCCTTACCTTTCTAGCCAGTACAATCACCCCTGTGACCATCAAGCAGATGACTCCCAGTGCAGCAACCATGGCTCCTCCTAGAAATCCAGTCTGGAACTGAGCCACTACAGGGAGAACAGCACAGAGGTGAGTGGCAGAGGTCAGGAGCAAAGCTGCCTTCTCTGAGGAAGCCTCCATTGTCTCAAAAACCAATGCCAGTCATGAGGGTGCATGCCTTTGACTTAAGAGTCAAGAGGCAGGCAGATCTCTGATTTAAGGCCAGCCTCAAATGGGGAGTTGGAGGTCAGAGGTGGGATTTGCTAGAACTGTCCTCTGTTGGAGTCTTCAACCTTAACTCTTTTCAGCAGAGCATCTCCCTGGTCCCAGGGGAGTCGGTGGCAGATCTCCCAAAGGGTGATGCACCTTGTGTCCATCTTGGACCATATTTTGTAATCCTTTACCCTAGCCAACAATTTGTTTTCAGATCTAACGAAATGAAACAAATGCTGTCCGAAAGGAAACTTGGGAAGGGTCCGAGAGATGGCTCAGTGGTTAAGGGCACTGGCTGCTCTTCGGGAGGACCCAGGCTTGATACCCAGCACCCACATGGCAGATCCCAACCATCTGTAACTCCAGACCTAGGGGATCCCAACTCTTTTTCAGGCCTCCACAGATACCAGAACTAGGTGCTTCACAGGCATATATGAGACCAAGATACCCATACACATAAAATAAACAACAGATCTATATTAAAATAAAAGCAAAAGGAAACTCAGGAAGTGATTTTTTTTCTTTTCTTTTGTTCATAAACACACACACACACACACACATATTCATAGTAGTAAAAACTGGTTAATACAAAATTAAAACCAAACTATGGAAAGAAAAAACATGTAACTTCTCACCTTAGCCCTATAGCCCAGATCTGAAACCCCAGAAGAACTGAGTGTCTTGCAACCTTACCCTCTGCAGCTTTCTCAGTTCTTGGTACATAGTAGATGCTAAATAAATAGCTATGATATGCTGAAGAATGGTTTCTAGAACACTTTCTCCTGCCATTCCCTCTTATCCAGGGATTCAGGCAGGAACTCCCAAGTCCTAGGAAGACTTGAAACAAGAAAAGGCATGGCCCCACTTTTCTGAACTCCAGGTTTTGCTTGTAGGAAAGGAGACTACAGTATCTGATCCCTTAAGATAAAGACCAAGCCTGCCATGTCCAAGGTCCCAGCATGTTCCATAGGCCAGGTTGGCCCCTTGTTGGACATAGCCATGACTCACTCAGGAAGAAAGGGGATAGAAGACCACGGTGTGGACACTGCAGAGTTGCAGAGGGCTTGGAAGGCTCACTATGGAGTGAGGAGAGGACAGGGACAGAAGAGGAGGTCAGAACCACCTTGCAAGATCCGGTTAGTACAGGGTTCTTTAAGGCTGAAGGGAGAAACAAGCAGCTAGACTAATGGAATTTTAGGGGAAATTATGATAGTGAATATGGTCAGGTTTAAGCGTGAGTTAAAGTACAGTTAAAGGCAGAGGAAATTTGGGATGTCAAAACTGCCAACTTGGATAGTAATTTTTGGTTAAAATGAAAGCACTAATTCTTCTATCTACAGCCATGGTTTCAGAATAAAGACTCCAAGGTCTTTGAAACTTTAAGAGCCTCAGGGCAGTGTGCAGGTGTGGGAGGAATATAATCTGCAGTAGAGATTCGGTATTATTTGTGGCACCAGGGATTGAACCCATGGCCCTGTGCATGCTAGGCAACCACTCTATGGCTGAGCTGCATTCCCAGCTCTGATCAGAGAACACTTTCTATAATACAGTTACTAGGGACTTGGATCAATAATTGAAATCAGTGTCAGGAGGAGAGCGGGGACAGAGCTGATGTAAGCAATTAGAGGAGCGTTTGCCTTAAGGTAAACAACTGACTCTTTGAGATCAAGAGGGGATTTCACTGACCCATTGGTGTTTCCTGGTGCTTACAATTACACAGACAGTGGAAACACTCAGGGACTTGGGTAGAAGCTGGAGAGAGGCACATGAAACAGACAAAGTGTTCTGAGCAAACACACATGGCTTCTGTCTGCCTTCTGGTTTGGAGACCTCAATCTCTTGGTCCATCAGTGTGGTGAGAGGCTCTGGGAAATATGGCATTGGGGTAAAGAACCCACACTTGTCACAGCCACCATGTGCTTAGGCTTACTGTGACCTATATCTCCTATTCTTTTTATTGTGAAGCCTCCCCTAAATAAGTGTGACACACAACACTGTCCCAAGACCTTATTTGTAACCACTCATGAGATGATTACATACATCATAGACCCAAAATACAGCAAAAATGTAAATACCACAGATATTCAGGATACATGAAAACATTTAGTCCCAGGCTGTATGATTCTAGAATCTGGGCTCCTTACTTCTTGTATTTAATCTATGATGGAACCAGCCAAGAGGTAATGTTTAAAATGAAGCTTTAAGGCAAACTTTTATCATTTCGATGTACATATGTTCTTAAGACTCATGAAACTTAAACTGCAACATAATTTCAATGTATATATATTTGTAACCTAAACTCCAGCATGACTGATGGTAAACAGTTCTGAGTATAGCATGTCATGGAGTTAGACACCTGTGTGTTAACATCAGCTTTCCACCATGAACAATCCCAAGCCTTAGTTAGTTAGCTTCTGCCACCATCAATCAGATGGAATTCATACTCACAGTCAATACCTAACATGGCACTTGCTATATTCCTGGAGCCATACTAATGGCTGTGTCTTATAGTAGTTGTTCAACCCCACAATAGCACCTCATAAAGCCTTAGACCCATGCACAGATGAGAAAAGTGATGCACAATAATTAAAGTCCTATCTGAGGCCAACAGCAAGGTTTGGACCCAAGTTGTCTGACATCAGAGACTGAGTACTTTATTACCCTGCTAAACTATCTCTCAGATGTGCTTTTAGTAATCTTTTCCCTCAGTAAAAATGGCTCATATTTGCCCCAAAATAAACATTATGAGAGTGTTTGGAAGCTTTGAAGCTTCATCATACAAAGGTGGGTGAATATTATATATTTGCATTTGGCACAGGCTATTCCTTGTTTTAAATCAACTCTGAAATTGAGAGCTAATTCTAATCTGCATGACTGATAGTAAACCATGAGATGAGCATCTTTCATGTGTGGCCTCATCCATGGGTCTCTTCAGTTTAGATAAGATATACTTCCCATGCAAAATCAGTGGGTATGCATAAAACTCTGCAGAATGATTCCAGAACATATCAGATCCTAGCTCTGCCCCCAACTCAGCTTGAGTTGCTCTTTCTTTACCATGCCACAAAAGTTCCTCCAGTGAGTTTGATGTGTTCCAGGATTGAGATACTCTACCTCCTAGAATGTCTCAGGATGGTGTTTTTTATGTGAGAGAAAGTGGTTCATCACCTCCCTGTTTCAAAGGACATACCTGAGCTTTCTTGGACCTTCAGGAATATTCTTCCCTTGTAAATCCCATCAGGATAGGTGTGGTAGGTGCAGAAGTACTCCCCTGTGTCATTCCTAGTCAGTGACTGGAAGGTGAGGCCTAGGCTGGGGCCTGTGACTACCCGCTTCCTGAAGACTGAAGGGACATGCCACCCCCAGTCAGCGCTGTAAACCGCCAGAAGCTGGTCCTGTTGCTCCCAGTTGACTTGGGTCACTTCAGCAGTGTTGGAGAAGTGACACTGTAGGATGACAGAGCCACCTTCCTCTGCATAGATGCTCCCCTTTGTCTCTATTATGCTTGCTGTGACTCCTGTGGGAAAGGGAGACAGATGTACAGAGGCTCTAGCCAGCAGTTGCCCTTCAGCCTTCTGAAGAATCCCAGGGTGTTCAGGGTCCAGAACTGGCTCCAGGAATGGAGTCCATCTCCATTGTCAGCAGTCTACCCTGGCATTCCCCCATAGAGACTGTCCTCGAGTCCTCTTTCCTTCATTTCCAGACTTTGCTTACTATACCTGTCATTCAAGGCTCCAAGTCCCACCCCTGGGTGCTTTCCGATCTCCTTGCCCTTTTCCACATACTCTATCTACTCCATCCCATCCCTGCTACTTCAAAGCATGCTTCTACCTCACTCTGTTTCACTTTCACTGTTAGTCAGATCGGTGGGCCCACCTTCTTGAGGACCCTGACATTTATTCATTTGTTTATTTATTTACTTATTTTTCTTATTCTACATATCGATCCCAGTTCCCTTTCCCTCTCCCTTCCTCCCATGCCCCCATCCCCCTCCCATCCCATCCCCTCCACTCCACAGGGAGAGTGGTGCCTTCCAGGAGGGGTCAACAAAATCTGTCAAGTCATTTGGAGTAGGGACTAGGTCCTCCCTCCTGCCTCTAGGCTAAGGGAGTATCCCTCCATGGGGGATGTGTTCCCAAAGTCCTTTTGTGCACCAGGAATACATCCTGGTTCCACTGTCAGGGGTCCCTTAGACTGCCCAGGCCTTCTAACTGAGACCCATGTTCAGGGGGCCTGAGTCAGTCCCATGCTGGTTTCCCAGCTGTCAGTCTGGGGGCCTGTTAGCTCCTCCTTGTTCAGGTCAGCTGTCTCTGTGGAGGACCCCGACTTACAAGACCTCCCTTTCCCACTGCTTGTGTCATATAACACCTCATTAAATGCCTGGTGTATCACCCCACGGCTCAGCACCTTGTCCACTCAGGTTGATTATTTTCATGAGCGCATTTAATCTTCCCACCTAGGATGTCGGCCCAAACCCACATCTATTGCTGCTCCACGGTTTCCAGCGGTCTAGTCTTGTGTCTAATCTCTGCCCTTTGAAATAGAGCTGGGCTACTTGATTGCATTTGGGATGTCAGGAAAAACCTTCAGGAAAGAGAGAAGGAAAAAGATCCATGATGCTTAGCCAGAAGTAGTAGTAGATGCTTTTAATCCTAGTACATGGGAGGTTGAAGCAGGAGGATCATAGTGAGTTCCAGACCCATCTAGACAACATAGTGAGTTTGAGACCAGCTTTAGAAATATAATGAGACCCCCATGTCTGTCAAAGAAACAAAATAAATTAAAAGAGACGAGGAAGGAGAGGAAGAGAGAGGATGAGGGACAGGGAAAGAAAGGAAAGGGAAAGGAAGGGAAAAGGAAAGGAGAGGAGGGAGCAGGGGAGAGGAGGGAAGAGGAGAGGACGGAAGAGGAGAGGAGAGAGGAGGAGAGGACGGAAGAGGAGAGGAGAGAGGAGGAGAGGAGAGAGGAGGAGAGGAGAGAGGAGGAGAGAGGAGGAGAGGAGGAGAGGAGAGAGGAGAGAGGAGAAGAGGAGAGAGAGGAGAGGAGGGAGAGGAGAGGAGAGAGGAGGAGAGGAGGGAGGAGGAGAGGAGAGTAGAAGAGAGGGCAGGGGAGGAGAAGGCAAAGGAGGAGAAGTCAGGAGAGAGGAGAGGAGAGGCAGGGGAGGAGAGGGCAGGTAGGACAGGACAAGACTCTTTCGGCTGAAAGCATCTTCTTCCCCGACCCCTACCCCAGCTCCTCTCTGAGCGATATGCGTTCAGCCTTTAAACAACATGGCAGTATAGTCTTTAAATATTTTCTTCTCTTCCCTCAGAAATGTTTACCCACAGTCTCTAACACAATAGAAACACAACAGAATTTAGCCAGTGGTATTAGTGGGAAACCCCGAAAGTCTGGGAAGCAGGTATTTCTCATCAACGGACTAGAATATTTTCCTAGAAGTTCCTTGGAAAGAGAAAGGAAGATGGAGTGGGAGAGGGCCGGGCTGGCTCCTACTCCTGGCCCCCTTTCTCATACAGGTGACCGACCAGTCAGAGCCCCCAAGCCAGAGAATCTATGAACACCATCCTCTGCAACCCCAAACACCCCTGTGCCCCCTCTCAGCAACTGTTTCTTCCCACAAGGTCGCAGAAGGCCCCAGAACCACCCTACATACATGCATGCTGCATGTACTCAGCCTTCTTTACCTGAGCACTGTGGTCTTTGCTCCTCTAGGTCTGCAGGCCTTACCTGAAGTGAGGAAGGCAGCCAGTATCAGCCCCTGGACGCAGATCAGGAACAGCCAGCCATGCATGCTTCTGACCAGAGGGCCTACAGGAAACAGATGTGGCCTCTCCTCTGCCTGAAAGCTGGCCCAGTGCAGGTGTGAGGTGAAACTCGGCCTGTGAGAAGAGGGTCTCGGAAAAACTGAGTTAGGTAAGAGCAGCGTCAAAACAGATAATGCTCTTGGCAAGTACACAAACTGCATAGGCCGAGCCACAAGAAAGGCCATGAAGGAAACATAGTGAAAAATAAACGAAATGTGTGGTTTGAGGTGTATGGTTCTCCAGTGACTCGCAGTCAATCTGTTGTTTTTACTTTATCTTGATGCACTTCTTGAGACAGCAGCTTTTATGTAAAGCACTCAAGGGCATCTTGGTGATGTACAGGGTTCTGAGGAACTATTTCTGATGAGTCAGATCCCCTGACATTGCCTTGCTAAAGAATGTGCAGCCACAAGAGAAACTTCAGTGTGGGCGCTTACAGGACCAGACCGTCACTGCATGTAGACTCTAGTGGCTAGGGATAAACCACGGATGAGACAAAGGCCCTGGACAGACAGCTACTCTCTCTTCAAGGAGACCCTCTCCTCAACTCTTATCCGTCTGTGTTTTTACCCAGGTTTGTCTTTAATTGCTTTGAGGGTCAGCTCCCCTGATGTAACAGAATCAGCTGAGAGTACAATAAGTTTTCCTGCAAGCTGTTGACCCCAGGAGAGTTAAGTACAGCAGAGGGAGCCCCAGAGGTGACCAGGAAAGGCATTAGCCACACTTACCTGAAGCTCTTAGCTACTCACCAGGCCCAGCTGTTGACCTTTCTATTTGGGTTATGTTTAATTGGCAATTTGACCCAATCTAGAATTACCAGGGAAAAGCAGAGCCTCCTAGTGAGGAACTATCTAGATCAGGTTGGCCTGTGAGGAAATATGTTGATTCCCTTAATGGGGGGGGGGCGGTGACCGAGCCTGAAAGTGGTAGCCCTATTCTCTGAGGGCCCTGGACTATGTAAGAGCAGAGAGCAAGATGAGTATTAGACATGCTTCCCTCTGCTCTTGATTGTGGATATGATGTCAAGGGCTGCTTCAAGTTCCTGCTACCTTGTCTCTGCCATGGGAACAAACTGTAACCTGGCATTGGGAGCTAAGATAAACGCTCTCTTCTCTAAGTTGCTTTTTGTCATTGCAGCAGTAACAGAAGTAAAACTAGAAAACTTTTTCCTTACTTCCTCTTTTCCTCCATTTAAGAGTGCCCAAAGAGCATCAGGCTCTCAAGATACAAGAGTGAGCAAGTATCAGTTAGCACTCGAATAGCTGACAAGACTAGGGAGGGGAGATGGAGAGGACACACTCACCTGTTGCGTTGACTCTTGACAGAGATATATCAGCCATGCCCCACGGTCTACTTAAAATCTGCACTCCCACCTGAGGAGACAGTCAAAGCCTGTGTCCTGCCCATTTCACCAAGTGCACAAATCATTCCCAGTGTCCAGGCTTCTGTCCTTCTCCTCTGTGTGCAGAGTTCTCTATCTCAGAACAGTTTCTTCCCTTCCATGGGTTCTGCGAATCTACACTGTGACTCAAGCACACTTATGACCCTCCTCCAGCCCCTTAGATAAGTGTTTGCCTTACCAGCTTCCCCATACCCACTCAAGTCCAACCTTCAAGGCTTACATAAGTACATATCTCCACCATGTTTTGTTGTTGTTTTGATCTTTCAAGACAGGGTTTCTCTGTTCTGGAACTCACTTTGTAAACCAGTCTGGCCTTGAACTCACAGAGAGCTGCTTGTCTCTGCCTCTGGAGTGTTGGGATTAAAGGCCTTGTGCTACCACCTGGCTTCTACACTACTTTTTAACATCTAAATGCCTTTCAGTTGAAGCAGTAGAAAGACCCAGCATGTGTTCAGGGTAAGATGCTGCGGCCAGACAAGATGCATGTTGCCAAACTTGGTTACCCAGGCAACAACAGCTACAAGGGCAGGTAGTAGAAGTACCAGAAAATGACTACAAAAATGAACAGTCTGCTTTTGTATAATGGTGGGGATAGAAGCCAAAGAAATTAGACTTGTCCCATTTGAGTTGGTGCTAGAGAAGGATTTCCTATTTGCCTATGAAGGGGCAACAAATTCTTGCCTAGCTGGGCAGTGGTGGCTCATTCCATTAATCCAGCACTCCAGAGACAGGCAGATCTCTGAGTTCAAGGCCAGCCTGGTCTACACAGTGAGTTCCAGGATAACTAGAGCTACACAGAGAAACTCTGTTTTGAAAAAAAAATTACCCCCCCAACACACAAAAAGAAGTACTTGCCTAGATGTAAAACAATACCCAGACATCTGTTTACAATCCCTGCCTCTCCCTGAGCGAATTTTGAGCCCCAACCAGTTCCTTAGGACCAGACCTGAAGATGCCACCTCTGTGAGGCAAAGGGAGCCCAGAGTGGCCACGCTTTCCATTAAACTGGTAGCTTGTACAAGGTCCACTCAGCAGTGTCTCTGGGCTTCTGCTCTCAGCAGCCCACCTACTCCATCCCACCCCCAGCTTAGGAAAAGTGACAGGAGCTGTCTTGTCCCTCAGGTCCCTGCCCCTAACCAAAGGAAATAACCCTGCAGATACAGGAGCCAGGGCTCTATGCTACCATGTGCTTCCCCTCTATGTCCCCAGGACTAGGGTCTTCTGGTAGCTCTCCCCTCCCACCCCCACTTTGTGGCAGAGGGCAGCAAGATATTCTACTCACCCTGCCCTCTGCAGGGTGCAAAGAGAGTCAAGAGATGAGAGCAAGCCACTGTCAACCCTAAGAGAAGGTGCCTTGTCCACCCATCACCATTACAAAATTACCTACACATGGAGATGTCCGCTCCACCAAGTAGACCTGAAGTAGCCTCAGAAAATCCGACTCTGTCCAAAATGAATGTTTATGATTTGACCCCTGGAGCCAATGGCTAACAGCAACAACTCAAAGGGAATATAACTGAGGATTTCTGACTTGGTTGTTTTTCAAGTGCTCTCAGGAGAGGTGACTGGATCCCAACCGGTCCGGTCCCATAAGCTGCCAAATTCAGTGGACTCCGAGAGATCTTTCTTTGCCTTCCTGGCTGTGGAAACAGGATATTAGGCCCTAGAATTGATGTGCATGCAGAAACAGAAGGCAAGTGGCTAGGAATAAACAGCTGGCCCTGCTTCTCAGCCTCAGCCCCCCACCCCCCAGCCTCTTACCACAGATCTGCTTCTCCCCACTACTCACTGATGCCCTTCCCTTCTCTTCCAGAAATTGCACAACACCATCATCGTAGAGTTAAAAAAGCTATTCAATGCACTTGCCCAGGCACGGTCGGGTATCTGAACATCACCATAGATATTGATTGTTACAGGTATACAAATGGGATTTTGGCTATGGGGGAAAGAGTTTGGGTCAACTACTGATACAGCACGTGCAAATTGGAAGGAACAGCCAAGGAAACAGGGGGTCACAGTGCCTGGACAGCTGCAAAGAGTCGACCTCAGGATAAATGCACTTCTCCTAAACTGGCCTAGCAGGATTGCCACAGGTGACCTGAGAAGTGGTGGAGGAGACAGGTCAGGTAAGCAGTGTGAGGGGGACCCAAAGGGAAGGAGGTTCTTGCTCAAGTGGTTTTGGCAGGGTTCTTGGCTAACACTGGATTTTACAGGAGAGTACAGGGATGGGTTTAGAAGGCTCACAATCTGCCTAAATTTGGTAAATAACCATTGTCAGTGTGCATTCTCATACTAACAAGTGTGTGTTAAAGAACTCTAACCACCCATTAGCACCCTGTGCCTTTGAGCTTTTTAAACACCGCCCCCCTCCCTCCCGCAATCTCATTCCTACTTCCTACTCGATAGTCATCTAAGACAGCTAGTTCTGGGATGAAGGCTCAAGTGGGCATACCTTTCCAACAACCCTTGACCACAAGGGACAAGAGGATGTCAAGCCTGGATGATTTTACAGGGACCAATTCTTCAAAGGACAGGTATTTCCCTGTTACTTAAAACATATCGATGTAAACATAGACAAACATTTCCTAATTAGTTCCATGAACTGAAAATAAATACAAAATAATGAAAATTATAAACAATAAAAGAAAATGAAATTTAAATCTTTCTTCAAAATATTGAGAGGAAAATTCTTTTAAAATCTTTTCACAGACTTAGGAACATATTAAACAAAATATACAAAATAAGATAGGGTTCATTCTAGGAGGTCGAGAAAGATTTAAAACTAAGAAATACATTAATGTTAAATATTGTATCTACATTTTAAAGCACATGGCCATTTCTTTTTATTATGATAAGAAACCTGAAAATAAAACAATAACCATGACTGATTTTTAAAAAGAAAAAAAATGAATGCATTCTTTCTTCTTTTGCATAATTATGTACACTCAGTTACCTCCAAAGCTAATATCTCTTTTGATGGCAAAACACTCTAGGTATTTCCACTAAAATCAGGAATGAAATTCCAGGAGTACTAAGCAATCCAATTAAGACCAGCATTTGAAGGTATAATTAGAAACAAGGAAATAGAATTACTTCAGCTGATTGTGTATTTTAAAGACTCAGTGGTAAAAACTACCATTACAACAACACTTTTTAAGCTGGCAGTATATAAAATTAGTTTAAATCAACAAATTGTCTCTCTATTAACTATTCACAAGTCAACAGCTATTTTAAAAGAGAACTCCTACTTACCTTCTACAGCAGAGGCAAAGGTCATATAAAGAAAGCTTTGCTCCAATGAAGCTTCTATCCATATATATATATATATTTCACCAAAGCATGGGTGTGGAAGTCAGAGGACACCTTGAGGGAGTCATTTCACTCTTTCCACTGCATGGGTCCTGGGGATCGAACATCAAGTCATACGGACTGATGACTGATGCCTTAACTGACAAAGACATCTAACCACCCCAAAGTATATATTTGAACATATTGAACACACAGGTGAATTCCTTTAGAAATCTGTAGCCACAAAATATAATCACAGAACTTGCAGGAAAAATGGGTGAACTGAGAATGAATAATATTAAGTGAGGTCTTATAATCTCAGAAACACATACACACACACACACACACACACATACACACACACACACACACACACGCACGCACGCACGCACGCACACACACTAGCATGTTCTCCTTTGTGTTCGGATTCTAACCAATTGTGTAGCATGTAGAATGTCTGGGTGTGTCTGAGTTTCTACATTGGGTTAATTGGGGTGGA